AGACGACTTCGGGGGTCGCCAGGTCAAAAGGTGTTTTTCCTTATGCTTAAAATTAGTGTTTGCTAGAAATAGTTGGTTATCTGAGCACAGTTGCAACAGACGGTCGCCATTGTCTGTTCTTTGAGCCGCGAGACCGTAACATCCACCTAGGTGTCTTTCATTTTCACTTAGTCTACCTACTTGTGCATTAAAGTCACCAGCCATTATAACTATATCAGAGCGCTTAACTTTTTGGAGGAGGTCCGAAAGCTTTCTGCAAAACTCATCTTTTACATCATCTGGGCTGCAGTCAGTGGGGGCGTAGGCTGATATGACGAAGAGGCAACGGCGAGTGTCCCTATCTTTCCGAGTCCCTACTGTCCCGTTTAGTCGGACGGCGCACAAGCGACTATCTACAGGGATCCAGTCAAGGAGAGATTGTTCTGCCCTACGACTCAATGCTATACCTACACCGGCGAGGCCCCTAGAAGCAGCATCAGGGCTACCGGATACACGAAGGGTAAATCGAGCTGCTTCTTTATCTTGACATGGTGAGGTCAAATGAGTGATGCTACTCGGATCCTGTATGCGCGTTTCCGAGACGCAGCATACATCGATGGAACGAGATTCTAAAGTCCTAGCTAATGACGCCTGTTGTCCTATTTGACACAATGTCCGTACATTGAATGCTCCAACATGTAGTTTGGAACGGGGTTTAAGGAGACCAGGAACGACGTTTCGCAAACTCGCATCGTTTACATTAGCTGTGCACTGTAATAGATGAATGTGAGAAGAGTTGGTTGTGGAGATAAGAGAGGTATTAGGGAATGTAGGAAGGATTTGATTTTGAACAATTTTGTATCGTGTGCTGTTGCGGGTATGAGGGCGGTTATCACTTCCCGGCTGCCCACACCGTGGAAGGTTGTTTCTTGACGAACCTGAAAAGGAAGATGGATTAGTGTTGGTGCGTGACCGCAGAGTCCAAGGGACAACTGCTTGAGGCCGGTCACGCACGGCCTTTTTATGATAGGTATTTAGAGGATTAGCTCCGTTCTTGAAGGCCCTTAGTGGGCACCCTTACCCAAGGAAACGGAAATCCGTGAGTTAGGGGAGGTGTGACATTTTTAGGGCCGACCTTTTCTAACCCTTCCTTTCTTGTGAGAAGGCAGCATCGCTGCAGATGCTGGTTGTCCGAGGGAAACACCTTACTGCTGTCACACCCCTCTGCAGTCAGCAGTACGACTTCGCCCTCAGACCTTGGGTAGCTGCTTTTAGTCTCATCGTTCTCCAATCGACCTGCCTGGCATGGTAGGACCTGCAGGAACATGTGTTCCAGCCAGTATAGCTCGGTTGGGTCATCACGATAGGCAAGCCCGACCACCACGTCAAGGTAGCAGCTTCGGTCGGGTTCCTAGGAATAGGTGGTTATCTGATCACAGTTGCAACAGACGGTCGCCATTGTCTGTTCGCTGAGCTGCGACACCATGCGATCCACCCAGGTAACCTTCCTGCTCAATTAGTCTACCTAATTGAGCATTAAAGTCACCAGTCATTATAACAATATCAGAGCACCTAGCTTTTTACAGGAGGTCCGAAAACTTTCTATAAAACTCATCTTTCACCTCGTCTGAGCTGCAGTCAGTGGGAACATAGGTGGAGAAAACAAAGAGGCAACAGCGAGTTTCCCTATTTTGCTGAATCCTTACTGTCCCGTTCAGTCGGACAGAGCACAAGAGACTATCTACTGGGATCCAGTCTATGAGAGATAGTTCAGCCCTACAACTCTAAGCTATACCTACACCAGCGAGGCCACGAGAAGCAGCATCAGGGTTTCCAGATACACCAAGGGTAAATCGAATCGCTTCTGAATCTTGACATGGTGAGGTCAAGTGAATGACACTACTGGGATCCTGTATGCGCGTTTTCGAGACGCAGAATACATCGATTGAGCGAGATTCTAAAGTCCTATCTAAAAAAGCCTGTTGCCCTATTTGACACAATGTCCGTACATTAAATGCTCCAACATGTAGTCTAAAGCGGAGTTTCAAGAGACCAGGAATGACGTTTCGTGAACTCGCTTCGTTTGCATTAGCGGTGCAGTGAGATAAAGGAATGTGAGTAGAGTTAGTCATGTAGATAAGAGACGTATTAGGGGTGTAGAAAGGATTTGATTGTGACCGATTTGGTCTCGTGTGCTGTTACTTGTATGAGGGCGGTTGTCACTTCTCGGCTGCCCACACCGTGGAATGGTGTTTCTTGAGGGACCTGAAAAAGAAGGTAGGTTAGTGTCGGTCTTAACGTTCTGGGAGCGTGACCGCAGAGCCCAGGGGACAACTGCTTGAGGCCGGTCACGCACGGCCTTTTTATGAAGGGTATTTTGAGTATTAGCTCCGCTCTTGAAAGCCCTTAGTGGGCACTCTTACCGCCGTAGACGGAAATCCGTGAGGTAGGGTGAGGTGTGACATTTTTAGGGTCGACTTTTTCTAACCCTTCCCTGTGAGAAGGCAACATCGCTGCAGATGCTGGTTGTTTAAGGGAAGCACCTTGCTGCTGTCACACCCCTCTGCAGTCAGAAGTGCGACTTCGCCCTCAGACTTCGATTTGCTGCATTTAGTCTTACCGTCTTCCAATCGACCTGCCTGGCATGGTAGAGCCTACAGGAACATATGTTTCAGCCAATATAGCTCGGTTGGGTCATCACGATAGGGAAACCCGGAGGCTACATGTCAACGTTCGGGAACATCTCGACATAACTTTCTTGTCGTTAGTATACGTTACTGATATGCACTAATTGCAAGTTAGTGTACTACAGTTTGAGCAATACTCGTATGATGGTGAGAGGTATTACCGAATTATTAGGTATAATATGTTCCGAGCGAATTATCGATGTCACTTATGGCGCAGGCGAGATATCCGTTTGCTGACTAAACGACGAATCTACTGTGCAGCAGTTCGTTCCGTCCTACTATACGGATGCGAAACATGGCCGTTAAGGTTAGAGGACTTTCGTAGATTACTAGTATTCGATCATCGATATCTCCAAAGCATTGCTCGTGTATCCTGTGACAACCGAATAAGCAACGCTATCATCAGGAAACGATTTCTAGGTATGGATGGCGAATCAATAGATGAAGTGTTGAAACTTCATCAGTTGAGGTGGTTAGGACATGTTACGAATGCCTAACCACCGACTGCCTCATCGAGCTATGTTTTGTGGTGTAGGAGTAGGTTGGAAGAAGTTAGGGGCGGCTAGACTCAAACAGGACACAAATCTATGAAGTCCTTTTCTAACCCTTCCTTCCCTGTGAGAAGGCAGCATCACTGCAGATGCTGGTTGTTTAAGGGAAACACCTTACTGCTGTCACACCGCTCTGCAGTCAGAAGTGCGACTTCGCCCTCAGACTTCGATTTGCTGCATTTAGTCTTACCGTCTTCCAATCGACCTGCCTGGCATGGTAGAGCCTACAGGAACATATGTTTCAGCCAATATAGCTCACGATAGGGAAGTCCGAAGGCTACATGTCAATGTAGCAGCTATCGTTCGTAATGTCATTAGATAATCAACAGGACTATAGAAGAATAACTCAAGCGAAAGTACACAAATAAAAGCATAGCTGATTCACTGAAGATAATCTGTAGCAAATAGAAAACTAAAATAATATTTACATCTAACTGGAAAAGTGGATAAAGATGCACCAATTTTGTGGTGACAGTATTAAAACGATAAATGGAGCCATTCGACCTGAAACGGAGAGACAAGGTAACCAGGAAAGCCGTTGCTAAGTTGTAGTAAAGAAGACATCAAACAGTATACGAGTTATTCTTAACACTCAGTAGAGTCATGTACTGCCTTTTGAACACAAATTTTTAGGGAAACGAATAATCATAATCTGACATAATAAACTGTCTTTCCTAAAGATAAACAGAGAAAATGGTGAATTTAACAAAAGGATTTGATATTCCAAGTTATAACACTCCCCAACAGCACATACAGAAATTAAAACGAGAAAAAAAGAGGGACGAAAGTAGCGAATTCCGATGGTAGAAAACAAAACAATTAACAGTAAGATTAATGAGAAAATGTTCTCCAGTCAATATCAATTCTTTAGCAAAAAGCTATAAAAACATTCACAAATCACATAATCAATAGCGTTTTAAACCCCTTAAAGGAGTCACGTACGTTTCCGAGTTTTACAATGACCTGCGAATAAACTAAAGTGTCAATCTCGAATCAACAATTACGACTAAGGCTGAATGTCGTCAAGTATGTGTACGATTTTTAGTCTGGAGAAGAACAAGGATAGCGACATACTCATATTCCACATTAAAATCTCTCTATACTTTGTGGTTCCTAAGCCTTTATTTGATGAGAGCGTAGGACCCGAGCAAACATTGTAATCAGAGTAATTTTCTTGATCTTATCACCAGATTTTTTTTTAGTTATGTTCATAACGGAAATGATCAGTTTTATTTTACTTTTAAACGTCATATACACCAAGTCTGACTTTAGTGTGACCTGTCTACTAAGCTACAAGTCGATGAAAATTGTACTCATCTTGTAGGCATGATTATCACCCACAAATATTTAGTTTGTTACACCTCTTATCAATGCTTAGCATACGTTTTATGTTCCTTTTAATGACTAACAATATTTAAGGATTTTGCACAACCTTACCTCTTGTTTTCGGTAGTTACTGCCTACACCCACAAGGTTGAAATTTACAAGTTACGTCTTCTCACTAGAACTCCAAATAGGCAACAAGGACTGGTCGCAGGACGGAAAATAACCTATTGATGATCTTTTCGGTTGCTAATCCGAATAGTTCCGATTTTCTGAAAATAAGTGGATGCTGATGTATAGTTGCAGCAAATGGCTGCTTGTATGTGTTGTATATGTGCTAAATCTGGAATTGAGAACGTACTAACTAAGATCAAGTCAACCTTTTAAGGCGAGATAAAATTACCACTATGAAAACCATACTCAGGTCTTTGACCTTTTTTGAAGTATATTTACAACTTACTTGTGATCTTCCAACACTACTTTGGGAGGTTTGTATAGATCTTTAAAAGGTTCCAACTTAAAATCCTTTCTGTGCTTGTTTATGTTATTCAAAAGTTGACTATATTCACCATACAGTTTTTGAATGCAAAAAATACTCTTGTTTCGATCAGACCAAGCTTGACGAACTATTGCTCCCAGCTGTAAAAAGTAATTTAAGGTAAATGAATACTTTATTCAGAAATTTGTCGACTAAAATAATAAAATATTACAGCGAACACTAACTAGTGAGTATTATATTCAATATCACAGACTGATCATAGCTCAACAACGATTGAAGATAGTTGGATAATATCGACAATCGATCGAAGTTAAACTTGTACATTACTCGATACTGGTTGAGTCATCTGAAGGCTCCACGTTCGACCCTACGTAGGGTCGTCTGTGAGCACCACTGAGGAGTCTAGCGACAAGGCGAAGCAGCTATCCAATTCTTCCTGATTTACAATGGTTGTCTAACAAAGATCAGTTCGTTAACTACCAAATCAGTTAGCTTTGTTGTACAAAGTCAGGAGAATTAAGTTTAGTCGACGTACAAGTCCATGGCTTACTTGTTAACACAATAGACTTCCGAGTATAAGTTTGGAAGTACGAATCCCAACTAACGTGATTCGGTTAAAACGGACTTTATACAGCGTGGCTCGAAGATGAGTAAATAAGTCTATCCTGAGGAAGTTGAGAAAAATCCAGCGCGCCAAGAGAGCTTGATTTTGTAAGGCACCACAGTTCTAATCAAATAAGCATTAACATAGAACCTGGCACATTTGTGAATTAGCCTGAGTTGTCAAACGACGTTAGCACGACATGATGAGGATAAAAAAACAGATCGATGACAACAAGGAAGACAACACTGAAAATACGGTTTTAAAAGACAGAGTAGAAAGATGTGTATGAAGGGATACCAGAACTTGAGTTCGGTAAAGCGATAAAGAATGCATGTACATGGGTCGTTATGAACGATTCTGAAACACAATTCAGTCTAACCACTTATCGAGGTTACCAGGCGCAGCCCAATCAGGTTATCCGACTATACAGACGTGGATCAGACCAGTAGTCGATAAGTTCATAGACTTATCTTAGCTTGAACACACCTGAGTTTTTCAAAGAACTGCTTTCAAAGCAAATATCGCGCATTTAGGCAAGCTGCCATTAAGTATATGTAATAAATATCCCAACCACCTTAGTCACCAGACCGTAGCTGCTACCTTGATGTGGTAGTTAGGCTGGCCTATCGTGATGACCCGACCGAGCTATATTGGCTGAAACATATGTTCCTGTAGGCTCTACCATGCCAGGCAGGTCGATTGGAAGACGGTAAGACTAAATGCAGCAAATCGAAGTCTGAGGGCGAAGTCGCACTTCTGACTGCAGAGGGGTGTGACAGCAGCAAGGTGCTTCCCTTAAACAACCAGCATCTGCAGCGATGTTGCCTTCTCACAGGGAAGGGTTAGAAAAAGTCGACCCTAAAAATGTCACACCTCACCCTACCTCACGGATTTCCGTCTACGGCGGTAAGAGTGCCCACTAAGGGCTTTCAAGAGCGGAGCTAATACTCAAAATACCCTTCATAAAAAGGCCGTGCGTGACCGGCCTCAAGCAGTTGTCCCCTGGGCTCTGCGGTCACGCTCCCAGAACGTTAAGACCGACACTAACCTACCTTCTTTTTCAGGTCCCTCAAGAAACACCATTCCACGGTGTGGGCAGCCGAGAAGTGACAACCGCCCTCATACAAGTAACAGCACACGAGACCAAATCGGTCACAATCAAATCCTTTCTACACCCCTAATACGTCTCTTATCTACATGACTAACTCTACTCACATTCCTTTATCTCACTGCACCGCTAATGCAAACGAAGCGAGTTCACGAAACGTCATTCCTGGTCTCTTGAAACTCCGCTTTAGACTACATGTTGGAGCATTTAATGTACGGACATTGTGTCAAATAGGGCAACAGGCTTTTTTTTAGATAGGACTTTAGAATCTCGCTCAATCAATGTATTCTGCGTCTCGAAAACGCGCATACAGGATCCCAGTAGTGTCATTCACTTGACCTCACCATGTCAAGATTCAGAAGCGATTCGATTTACCCTTGGTGTATCTGGAAACCCTGATGCTGCTTCATACGTATAATCTGGGAACTGGACGTAATCCCATCTGACTGGTCTTAGTCGCTAATTGTCCCAATCTACAAGAAAGGACAGAAGTCCTCTTGTGACAATCACAGAGGAATAAGTCTAACTGATATAGTATCTAAATTGTTATCCTCGATTATGCTTAGACTCCTAACTAGAGCTCGTGAAGAGCAGACTAGAGAAAACCATGCTGGTTTCAGACCTGGACATGGATGCATAGACCACAGCTTCACATTCAGACAGGTCCTGGAACACAGACACACATTTAGGCGTCCTACAATAGTTTTCTTCCTGGACCTAAAAGCGGCATTCGACTCTGTGGATCGTGAGGTTCTGTGGCAGTGTCTGTCAGTGAAAGGTGTACCACAGAAGTACATTAACCTCATACAAGCTCTCTACTCGAACACCACTGGTCGAGTGAGAGCTTATGGCGAACTGTAACGGGAATCGTTCACTTCAAGTGGCGTCCGTCAGGGCTGTCCACTTTCTCCATTCTTGTTTAATTTTATCATAAAAATGCTCTTAGAAATAACCTCATCCTCGTCTGAATTTTCAGGAGTAGACCTATTACCAGGAGGCTCGCTTATTGACTTAGAATATGCCGATGACATTGTCCTACTTGGCGAGGACACTGACAAAATGCAGAGTTTCCTGACTACCCTAAGGAACAATGCAAGCATGTTCGGGACGCGGTTCTCACCCTCCAAATGCAAAATTTTGCTTCAAGATTGGGTTTCATCGGCACCTGAACTAGTGATAGGGAGTGAAGTAGTCGAACGTGTAGACCGCTTCACTTATCTTGGGAGTCTCATCAGTGCTGATGGCCTGGTGACTGACGAAATCTCAGCTCAGATACAGAAAGCTCGATTGGCTTTTGCCAACCTGAGTTACTTATGACGCAGGCGAGATATCCGTTTGCTGACTAAACGACGAGTTTACTGTGCAGCAGTTCGCTCCGTCCTACTATACGGTTGCGAAACATGGCCGTTAAGGTTAGAGGACTTTCGTAGATTACTAGTATTCGATCATCGATATCTCCAAAGCATTGCTCGTGTATCCTGTGACAACCGAATAAGCAACGCTATCATCAGGAAACGATTTCTAGGTATGGATGGCGAATCAATAGATGAAGTGTTGAAACTTCATCAGTTGAGGTGGTTAGGACATGTTACGAATGCCTAACCACCGACTGCCTCATCGAGCTATGTTTTGTGGTGTAGGAGTAGGTTGGAAGAAAGTTAGGGGCGGCTAGACTCAAACAGGACACAAATCTGTGAAATCACTGACAAGTAGACTGAGTCATGTTGGTAGATGTAGGGTACCTAGTTGGAGTCAGCGAGACGAATGTCACCAGTGGTTAGAGACCTTGAACGACATGGCTCAAAATCGTTTGCAATGGCGCAAGTGATTCCACTCTGTGTTCTTTTTAATTCTAACCTTCTGAATTCTTCATAATCTCTGCTTTTCTCCTTCTAAATTTATCTTACTGAATTATACTTTTCGAATCATATATTCGCTCCCTAATCTTCTTTAATACTGCTAATACTTTTAATATCGCCATCACTCTTGGATTTGAACTGACAGTTTCGTCTCTGTGCTGATGTGGTATGGCAGCCTGAACTGATGTACTTATGTACGAAGTTCTGCGTTGTATCTGTCTGTTCGCTTTGTTTTTTAAGACGATCTGAAGACTGCATTTTGTGAATGTCTTCATTAAACGATACTGTCATTTGGGTTAGATGAAGAGTATTACTTCTAGGAGGACATCTACAACGTCAACAGTTGCATCCTTTTCCCGAGTGCTCTTGTCGGTATTTGTTAAACCCTTGTTCGTTGATAAGTATGAATAGTTTTCTGCCACACTTACCGATACTGTCTTCTAAGATAGGTAACACGTTACTTTATACGGTCCAGTAACATACTTTAGAGGAAAAGTAGCAGTTAGCATCTAGGCTTTGATATGACGGTATACTTTGGTTGGTAACATCTTAAATCTTTCACTTCACATACTTCATTTCTTCACTGAAGACTAGAAGCAACCGAAACTAGGGTTAATGATTAAACTATCAAACTTTAAACCAAGAGGTCGCACGTACGAGTCTCGTTTATCTATTTAAAGTTTTTCAGTCATGGAATGCAATCAATTTGTAAATTTAGTATGAATTAAAGATGACTACATCGACTAGGGGTTTGACCAATAGTTTAGTGAACAAAGACAAGATCCTTCGTGCAGCATTCACTCAGAAACCAACTTAATATGGTTGTGTCAAATCCAGGGATCAGTAGTAGTTTCGTATACGACAGTTTTGTCAGTCCTGACATGTGTTTCTTACTTGGTCAGTCGGCTGTACATAACCTAGAAAGGGACAAACGTGTATAGGTTAGAGTTACCATCCTATATAAGCAAAACAGGACGAATTTTCAAATCAAATCGAAGATAATAAAAGCTGCTGCATTAATTGGAACGGGAATTAACCTCTACTATTAAATAAACAATGCACTTTCCTGAGCAATAATGTATTTCCAAGTTATATCTGCTACGAGGTCTGAAAAGGTGACAAGTAGTCTGCAAAGCAACACAAGCATTGCTGCTGCTCAGAATACATACATACGACACTAGTATTCAAACACGGTATTTATGCACAAAAGACGTAAAGGATTCAGACATGTATGGGAAAGAATGAAGTCAGAGAGCCAGCGGCGCTAAACAATCCTGAGTGTACAATCAATCGAAAAACTTATGGAATACTTAGACATAATTCGGATGACAGTCCAAAGTGAGTAGTTTTGAGCACTTCTTAGCTAAGAATAGAAAAATTCATACGAATATAACCAGACTGAAACAATTGTCAATCATGATCAGAATGATGAGTTGGCAGCATATTACTGGAAGATACTGAGGAAACGGAGACTCACCGCTGATATGTCTTGCTCAACATTCTGGAGTTGACTGAGGATAAAAGACCTCTCATCAATTAAGCATCGCATTTCCGTTTCATACTGTACTAGCCTAATTGACTCTTCTTCCAAAAAGCTAGTTGCGCTGCACATATCCGCCAGCGTCTTCAAAAGTAACTCCGATTTTCCACTTAGAAGATTATAAAATAAACTCTTCATACCTTAAATTCCCCATAACTTCATAATCCCTTATGATGCTTTCTTTCACCATTCTTTAAACTTACCGGGGTTTGATATTATGATCCTAATCTAAAAATGCCCATAAGTACGTTAGCACAGACGAACAACAGTTTCTAACATATCAGTAAGAAAAAATTAGGCTATTCATAGACCTTATAACCGTTCAGCATTTTAATTAGTGTGAATCATTACGTAGTTCTTAATTTTATATCAGTGTGTAATTACTTATTCAAATTCAGGAAGATCAAGTCTCCATCGCCCCCTTCTAAGCAAAACTAAACTTACTCGGCAACGGTGTTGTTAATTAACAACCTCAGTCCCCCAGAGCACTGCTGTGCGAGCTTAGTATTCACATTGTGCCTAGAATGTATGCTGATATTTTGAGGCATTATGGACCACTACAGTCAGCTATCCGTATGAGGAAGTGTCTAATCAATTAATAGTGGTTAGACCAACCCCTTCAAGCTATATGATTAACGCGTAAATTCTACCAACAATTAGTGAAGTTGTAGACCAGTGAACTTTTGATGTAGGCTCATGTTGACAACTCATCTTGTCATAACTTTGGTAACAGGATTAAATAATCCTGTTTCACCTCTAAATAATTCATTTGACGGACTACCTTCATTCACCGATATCAAACAATCCAGAATGTAGTCACGAATTCCGCTAACACCTTTTGGCATTTTCTTGACCCCTCAAGTATCCCTAGATGGCAAACAACTTCCTAAAACAGATCTGCTCCTCCACCTTACGAAGCGGAGAAACATAACTTCTCTTATTTTCATATCACTGATGTCAAGTCATCATGGAGAGGAAGCAAAGCTCTCAGTTTGATTAACATTAGGCCTATAACTTGTAAAGATAACTGAGGCATGGACCAACAGTAACATTTCTTATCTAAGTATATCGCTTAAAAACTATTATATATTTTGAAGTGATAGGTTACAAGGACGAGTTGGAGGATGCCTCATATATGCATTCTCTAGCCTGAAATCACCCTTATGTGATATGCCGGAACTAAATAGACTACAAGATACTGTGTATATCATTCGTCTGTGTTTACCGTCAGTCTAACACAATAACAGGGGATCTAGCAATATTGTCAGAAGTATTCACGTTTGCTTCATCCCTACAGTTTACAGACAATGAACTTCAACAAGCCTGAAATCTCTTGGCTCCTAATCAAAGCACTTAAACAATTCGAATCAGTTATTGGATGCTTAAAGCTTGGAGAGTGAATTCAATGTGTTGACGGTCCAGCTAGACATCACAATATATTGGATTTAGTTTTCACCAGCAACCTCATTTATAATACCGTATATATCGGAAAAAAGTGCGCAGGCAGCGATCATATTATCGTCAAATTCAGTCTTGATATAAAAGCCAAAACTATAAAACATAAATCCACTGCACTTCATAGAGGCTACAGCAAGATTGACTGGGCATACTTCCGAAATCGCATCAGATGCATTGACTGGACTAATTTCTTCACCGTAAACAATACCTACGAACTAGCAAATGTATTTTATCACAACATCGACAATATCTTCAATAAATTTTCACCTTTTGGATCCTGGAGACCCAGAATTTTCAAGGACTTATCTATGCCAGATCATAAGTGAAAATGTTTCCGAAGACATGCTTCCAGACGTCATAAACATGATGACTTCTCCTCATGATAAAAATATTTTTCAAGGAAATTGCACAGAAAAATCGTGCTGTCGAGTGGAGTAATCAGTCTTGTGCACTTACTAAAATCCTCCGAAATAAAGTAAAATTCTTTAAAAAGAAAGGAAGGAGAGTATTCATCAAGGGCAACCAAGTGTATGAAGACAGTAAACGTATCGCGGAGCTGTCTTGCGAACTTTTGTGTGCTTCATTAACAATTGCAATAAGTGAATCACAGCTGATATCAACGCATTCCTGCGAAATTGCCAATGTTGAGTATAGTGTACAAAATATTCCCGATGAGATTAGTACATTGAAACTTTGTTACCCAGCATCCTGAAAAATGAGAGCAACGATCTGTTATACTTAGAATATTTATTGCATGTTTCTCCACACCATGTTGCCCTAATACCTGTGTAGAATCATTAAGA